ATACAGATGATAAATCCAATGAGAAAGAAATCAGGGAAACATCACCTTTCACAATATCCACAAGCAACATAAAATATCTTGGGGTAACACTAACCAAAAAAGTGAAAGACCTGTACAATAAGAACTTTGAGACTTTAAAAAAAGAAATTAAAGAAGATACCAGAAAATGGAAAGATCTCCCATGCTCGTGGATAGGTAGAATTAACATAGTAAAAATGGCAATCCTGCCAAAAGCAATCTACAGATTCAATGCAATCCCCATCAAAATCCCAACAGTTTTTCACAGACATTGAAAGAACAATACTCAACTTTATAGGGAAAAAAAAAAAACCAGGAGAGCCAAAACAACTCTTTACAATAAAAGATCTTCTGGAGGCATCACCATCCCTGACTTCAAGCTCTACTATAGAGCCATAGTTGGTTCTTCTGCTCTTATGCCCTTGATGCCAGAGTGTTTAAACCTACACCACCAGGGCCAGCTCTACTGTGTTGCCCAGATACAGGGACCATCATGCTGAGTGCTACAGCCAATGAGAGGCAGGGCCAGCCTTGTGACCTCAGGGCCAGCTCTTCCACCTGCCACAGGTGGTGAGTAGTGATGAATGGCTTCTCTCCCTTGCTCACATCACCATATTGTTATGCCCAGTGATCGAAACCCAGAAGTCCACCATCAAGGAGGTGACTCACCAAATGTAAAAACAAAAGTTTCTTTATTGCCATGTTGCAGAATGGATCCTGCCCACTTGGAAGCAAGCAGAATGCTGCTTACAGCTGAGGGAGGTTTTTAAAGGCAGAATTCAAAAGTCTGTGAGTCTTGAGATTACAAAGCTTCTGTGGTTACATAGGATGAAACAATAACTGTGTATTTCAGGCAGGATGCAATTAAGCAAGATGTTGTAGGGGGAAATACGTTTGTTAATTATCCCCTAGGCCAGGGACTTTTTTTTTTTGTTTGAATTACAAACAAGATTGAATTACATGACAATCCCAGTTCCTTTCTCCCTCCCTTCCTCCCCTACCAGCTCCCCAACTAAAACCCTACCTATCATATATCCTTTCTTCTAATCTACACCTGACTCAACCTTTCTGCTCCCTCATGACCTCTGCATCCTTCCTTTTCTTCCCTTCTCATTCTCGTAGCTCCCTCCCCCCCTCTTCCTATGTTCTCAATTTGCTCAGGGGATGGTGACCCTTTCCCCTTCTCCAGGGGACAAAGTTTGTCTCTTTTAGAGTTCTCCTTGTTTGCTAGTTTCTCTGGCAGTGTGGATTGTAGGCTGGTAATTCCTTACTCTATGTCTAAAATCTATATATGAGTGGCTACACAGAGAAACCCTGTCTCGAAAAACCATAAAAAAAGGGGGTGGGCATTGGTGGGCCAGGGACTTTTACAATCATGAATTGATAGCTATCTGATCTTCTTTAGGACAGATAAATGTTGACACAGCTGGGGTATGTTGTCTGGTCTCAGCTTGTACCCAGTTGTTTGTTTAGCCTTATCTGCTGGGCTGCCTTTTGGTAACTTAGAGAGACTTAAACGTTTTCTATATGGGCTTTTGGAGTCTTAAGTTATTAGACTTTTATCTGAATGGACCAGCTCCCCATTTCGGCAGCCATGACAGTAACGCGTGCTTGCCATGAACTTGCCTTGGTCACTAAGAGGTCAGATGCCTGTCTCGTGGCAAGGAACCAATCAGAAGTTAGCTAGTGGTGCTATGCTTAATGCTCTGGGAGTGCTTTACGGACAAGTGCACAGCAATGACGTGCAGAGCATAGCAACCACCCTGGGAGGACCTATGGGCCATAACAACCAGTTGACCAATCAACACAGGGCAAGCCCTCCAAGCCTGGAGGCACACCAATCCTGAGTCTACGTACCCCTAGACCCTCCCCTTACACTGCCCTACAAGATCTCTATGCAGCTGGTTCGAGCTGTCTTTCCTAGCCATCCACCATGGTGGATGGATGAAAGACCTGAGCTAACATGGGTTTAGCTCATTAAACAACTTTAGTAAAGCCTCATGCAATTTGCATCAAACTTTTGAATCTGCCTGGTGATTGGGGTGACTGCGGTCCTGGGCTGAGACCCCGGAGGCGGGGGGTGTCTTACAATCAATTTCTCCCATTTTACTCCTTTCAATATGGCAGATGAGGGGCAGGGCCAGATCTCTCATGCTCATGTTCTCAGGACAGCTCACGCTCATCACCTTCACTGGGATCAGCTCTACTGTACTGTCCAGGGAGGTACATGGCCCACCCTTCCAAGTGCTTTAGCTGGTGAGGGGCAGGACCAGTTCTCTAGTGTTGCAACCAGTGAGGGGCTAGGCCAACTCTATGAAGCCCTCTCCTCTTGGCCTTTGGTAGTAATAGGAGCCACAGACACCAACACAGACCATGGCTTAGGCAGGGCAGTAGGTGCAGACATGGCCCAGTTGTTAAGCAGGCCACCCACCTCAGTCCACTCCTCACCACCTTCATCTCTTTGGATCTGCCTCTCTCTACAAGGTCATGAGCCATCTGTGCTCACTCTCTCTTCCACAGCCCACTCTATGTTTGCTCACTGCAAGGAGCCTGACTGGTGGGCCTGTGTTTTAGATCTGTGTTTCCTGCTCAGCCCTCATGTAGCTCAGGTTCCTGTTGTCTCCTTCTGGCCTGGGGCAGAGAAGCCCTGACAGGCATTGAATTTTTAATTCTTACTGCTACCTTTTAGGGGTTTCCTCAGTAAAATGCTCTTGCTTTTCAAAGATGGTAGTGATAAGCAGCACACATCACCTCTGTTTTTATCACTGAGGAGGCTGGAGATAACATTGGTCTGCTGGTTCATGTCACTCTCAAGCCAGTGGCTCTGCACCCAGCTTCTGAATCAGAGCATGTACACAATTTTTTAAAAAAATTTTCGAGACAGGGTTTTTCTGTAGCTTTGGAGCCTATCCTGGCACTCGCTGTGTAGACCAGGTTGGTCTCCAACTCACAGAAATCCGCCTGCCTCTGTCTTCCGAGTGCTGGGACTAAAGGCATGCACCACCAACGCCCAGCTGCATGCACACATTTTAATATTTTTGTTTTTTAAACCTCAGTTACATTTGGAAAAGAAAAACAACTAGGAAGTGGCATTAAAGGTAGTAATAGTTTTTTTAAGTTTTGTTTTACTAATTTTCTCTTCTATAATTTATCGATAAAATCCATTAGAAAAATTCAAGCAGATAAGCATAATTTATTCTCTAACGACTAGAGAAGTTGAGAGTTTTAAAGACGATTCCCCTAGACATTGAGAAAAGAAACTAGATTGGGGCAACAGTAGGTGGCCAGGCACAGCAGTTGTCCTTGTCGCTGTGCATCGCCATCACCTGGGGACTCAAGTGACCAGAGCTGATGTGTGGTCATCACTCCTCCAGATTTCTAATTAATTACATAGAAATAATTTTCCATTTGAATTAATGTGAAGTCAAACAGCAAGTGGCCTAGAACAGGGTTGAAAAGAATCTTTGCTCTATTCTTTGGGTTTTTTTTTTTTTTTTTTTTTTTGTTTTTTTTTTAAAGTTAAATATGGGGTTGTGGATGTTCTTTTAAAGATGTGGTAATTTTAGAATGTCTATTGGTAAGCAAAAAAGATGAACAATTCTTTTCATATCTGAAGAATGGAAAGCTTCATAGGACCACATCACAATGAAACTTCATGGAGCTAATGCACTTACTAATGTGTTACTTGAACAGGTTGCCTGTGATTTGCTTCGGAGAATAATTCGCATCTTATATCTCAGTAAGAGACTCCAGGGACAACTGCAAGGAGGAAGTAGAGAGATAACCAAAGCTGCTCAGAGTCTCAGTGAACTTGGTAAGTCCTTTCATGATTAAAAATTGGTAGAAATTGTTAGTATTTAGGCATTCATACTGGCCTACCTTTGGAGTTCTGACAAGATATGCCCTCAGCTTCTGCTACTAAGAGCACCAACTGTGCCTTTTCACTGTTCCCTTTTAAAAGGCCCTGCCAACCTCCCATCTTCTCTCTCCTTTTTTCTCTCCCTCTCTGTCCGTTCCTGTCTCTGTCTCTCTCTGTCTCTCTGTCTCTCTGTCTCTCTGTCTCTCTGTCTCTCTGTCTCTCTCTCTCTCTCTCTCTCTCTCTCTCTCTCTCTCCTTCTCTTTCCTCTCTCCAACTGCTCCTGTCCATGAAGGCTGGTCCTTTTATATGGTCCCCTTTCCCCCTTTTATGATCCTTTTCCCCTAATAAGAAACCTCTTGGTTTGAACTCTGTCACATGGTATCTTTCTTTCTTGCACCATTTATGTATGTATGTATGTATGTATGTATGTATGTATGTATGTATGTATGTATGTATTTATTTATTTATTTATTTTAAATGACAGCAGAAGTGCCTGATGGTTGTGGTGCACACCTTTAGTCCCATCACTCAGGAGGCAGAGTCAGGCAGATCTCTATAGTTCGGGGCCAGCCTGGTCTACAGAGCGAGTGCCAGGACAGGCTCCAAAGCTACACAGAAAAACCCTTCCTCGAAAAACAAAACAAAACACAAAAGGTAGAAGTTTGACAGTTTAGACTCAGTTGATTTGTTGACATTTGTTATCACTATTAACAAATATTACTAAAATTAAAAAAAATGACTTTATAACATTATTATAAGCAATGTTTCTCTTCAGAAAGGGCGAATAAAATTAGATTTCTTGAAAATGTTTACTTTAAAAATGATCATAAAATAAAACTGGCAGTTTTTCTTAAATTGTTGTGTATACTTTAACACAAATATTTGAGTAACTGTGAGCACAGTCATAATACAAAACACTTGTACACTCTTGAAATATGTCTGTCATTACTAGATGATCAGAACTATCCTTGCCCTCTAACCTGACAGCCTTCATAATTTTTCTATCTTTATAGTTTTGTCTATTAATAATGACACATAGATGGAATCATAAAGTCCACACCTTTTTGAGACTGGCTTCTTGTTCCTACCTTTTAATGCCTTTGAGATGTATTCAGACTGTTGGGTATATTAGAGTTCGTTAGAATACCTTCTGTGCTGTTAAGCGATTGTCCTTTGAGTCACTGGTTGAAGGAGAATTTTGAGTTCTTTCTAGCTTTTGGTGATTATGAATAGAGCATCTGTAAACACATGTGTGTAGGTTTTGTTGTGATTTCTATGGAGTTAATATCTAGGAGAAATGTTGTTTATTTAGGTGATAAATCACATGTTGATATGATATCTAGATGTCTTTATTCATCTTTTCTTAGATATTTGAAATAGGCCCTTGCCATTCAAGGTTTAGAGTTGGTGGTTTTGCTAAGAAGCTTCAAGTTCCATAATGTTCTAGGGGAAAGTTTGAATAGCTAGTGAGTACACATAGAAAAGGCCAATACCTGGGTTTTGATAAGACTTTGTGTGTTTCTTATTTTTATTGGGTACCCAGTAATCTTTTAGAAGTGAAAATATTTGATGATATTTATTCTCTTACAGGTTCAGAAGGCCTTTGATTATATATGTCTCAAATACTCTAGGAAGCATGTTTATTCCAGAGTAACACTAGAAAAATGTATTTGACATGTTCTTTCTGAGTTTTTCTGTTTTTGATATTTCTGTTGCAAAGTCTTGCTCTATGGGTTGTGATCCTGATGGGGGTCTCATATCAAATATCTTTTGTATTAGATATTTACATTACAGTTAATAACAGAAAATTATAGTTATGAAGTAGCAGCAAAATAATTTTATGGTTCAGGGTTACGATAGCATGAGAAAGTATTAAGGGGTTGAAGCATTAGGAAGGTTGAGAACCACTGACCTAATGTTTATGTTATATTTTTACTGGTCAAAGAAATATAGTAGTCTTCACAAATCATGCTTCAACATTTCAGTTGTGTAATTCTTAGGTGTAGACATTGATTAGGCTCATCTTTACAACACATTATTTAGTATGCTGGAATATATTATATGAAAAGTTAATTTTTAAGCAGCTAGTAATATTTGAGTGTTGTTTCTTTCCTTTTCAGAGGCATGTATTTTTTTATTTTAAAATTTAGTCTCATGTGTGTTACCCTCTTGATTTTTTTATTTGGAAGGTTGTAAGTATATATTTGTGCACATACACACATATATGCATATACCTGTGTGTGACTAATAATCAAAGAAATAAGTGTCTATCAACCTAAGAGTGGGAGAAGCATGAGAGGAATTGAAGGGAGGGCATATGGGGAATTTGGAGGGAGGAGAGAAAGGGAAAGTGACGCAATTTTATTTCAATTAAAAAATTTAAAAATAGCATATTGTATATATTTGTAGTTCTTTTAAATTTGTTAATTTCTCATTTGTGCTGTCTTTAATTTTTCAACCTTTGATTTTATTCTTTATCCTCCTTTTTAGTCCTTCCCACCTCCCTACTCGCCCAAGTTCATGTTCTCTTTCTCTCTCAAAAAATGAAAATTAAAGTACCCCTCCCCCCAAAAAAACCCAGTAAGACAAGGGAAAAAAAAAGATCAAAATGAAACAAGATGAACATAAAATGAACATGGAGTCTTTTGTGTTTGCAGCTACTCCTGGGCATGAGATCTGCCCTTAGTCTAGTTGATATACCCAGTAGTATACCATTGTAAAACTGACTTTTCTTTTTCCAGTTGGTATCAGTTGCAAGTCTCTTCTTGTCTAAGGGAAGATCTTCATGTTTTCTTCCACTTCTCAGTTCTGAGATTTTGTCTGTTTGAACATGTTTAAGTCTTGTAAGTCTCTGTGAGTTCATGTGTGTATCAGTCCTATCCTTGACATCTTCCATCACCTCTGGTTTTTACAAAAGAAATAGCAACATAAGTATATATTATGTCAGATAATGCTATATGTTATGACAGGTTAAGAAACTAGAGACTTCAGTGGGATTAGTGCTGATTTGGAAATGTCAGGGGACAGAGAGATTTCATGCACTGTGCAGACTTAATAGCAGAATGGAAGCTGTACAAAAAAGTCCTTGTAACATATTTGCCTCTTTGCATACTATGACAAGGTTTCTTTCAGTAAAGCCCAGCTGTGAGGCCATGGTGGCCCTACAGATCATATGGTTAGTGTGCTCTCAACAACCCTCATACTCTGCTTTTTCAATAATTCAGTGGAAGTCACTCTTTCCTGGGAAATACTTGTTTTGCATTTGTTTTTGTTTACTGTGTTTTCCTTTCCCCAAATGTGTTATTTGTTGTTTTTCCCTCTTACTGAAAATAGATTTTTTTCCTCACATGATTATGTAAGGTTTCCCCTTCCTCTGCTCCTCCTAGTTCCCCACCACGTCCCATCATACCTGGACAACCCCCACACCCTTGCTTCTGTCTCTCATTAGAAAATAAACAGGAGACTAAAGAATAACCATGAAATAAAATGAGATAAACATAAACTGACATAATGGGTTAGGACAAAACAGGAGAGGGAAAGGAATCCCATAAAACACGAAACTGGAAGCCATAATATTCCCACAAAGGACCTGTGCTTAGTGAGGGTTCCATTGGTGTGAAGACACACCATAACCTCAGCAGCTCTTACAAAGAAAAGTGTGTAATTGGGCTGCCTTACAGTTTCAGAGGTTTAGACCATTATTGTCATAGTGAAAAGCATGGCAGCATGCAGACAGACATGGTGCTGAGAGTTCAATATCTTGATTCACAGGCAATGGGAAGTGTATTATATCACTGGATGTGGCGTAAGCTTATGTGAGGCCTCAAACCCTGCTTCCACAGTGACATACTTCCTCCAGCAAGACCACACATACTCCAACAAGGCCACACCTCCTACTAGTGCTACTCCCTATGTATGGGTCAAACCTATTCAAACCAGCACAGACCTATAGGGCAAAAAGCGAGAGAAATATATATATATAGTAAAAATACAAAATAAGAATAAAGAGAAAATGAAAAGCTCTGCCATGGCATTATGAGACAAGGAACTTCTACAGATGCCAATGAGTTCATTTTCTGTTAGCTATATACTGCTGGGCATGCAACCTTACCCTTAAAAAAACTCAATTTTCATTTGCAAAGGGTTATCAATTGAGGATTGCTGCTGGGTTAGGGACAGGGGCATGTGTCTACTTCTTTCAGCTCTAGGACTCCCTCTGGTGCTTGTGCAGGCTGTGTGCATGCGGCTTCAATTTCTGTGAGTTCATAAGTGCTTCAATCCTGTTGATTTATGCAGCCTTGTTTTCTTGGTGTCCTCCATTCCTTTTGTCTCTTAGACTCTTTTCTCTTCTGAGTTGGGAGGGGAGGGATTTCATGGAGACATTACATCTAGAGCTGTGTTTCAATGGCTGTGGGTCTCTGTTACCGATCTGTTGAAGGAGGAAGCAGAAGGAAGTGTCTCTGACAAAGGCTGAGGAAGGCACTGATCAGTTTCCTTTGCCAGAGTGGCCAGTGTTGTTTTCTTAGTGTATTCTCAAGTAGGGTTCTAAAAGTTCTAGTATCAGCTAATTTAATGTCTCACTTTTTAAGCATCAAAATTTGTAATTTCTAGGCAGCAATTTTTTTCAGTGTTTGTTCTATAACATTTTTAAAATTTAAACTAGAAACAAGCTTGTTTTACATGTCAATCCCAGTTCCCTCTCCCTCCCCTCCTCCCCTGCCCCTCAAAGACTCCCTATCCCATCCCCTTTCTGCTCCCCAGGGAGGGTGAGACTTTCCATGGGGGATCTTCAAAAAGTCTGTTACATTATTTGGAGCAGGGCCTAGACCCTCCCCCATGTGTCTAGGTTGAGAGAGTATCCATTTATGTACTAGGAATAAATACTGATCTGCCTGGTCCAGCAGGTAGAGCTGGGGAAGTCCAGCAGTCTCTTCTCTGGGCTGAGCAGGATGGTG